GGAAAATGACTATATATATATATATATATATATATATATATATATATATGTGTGTGTGTGTGTGTGTGTTCATGTACGCAGTTATGTTCGTGAATATGTGTTATAGTCTTTTGTGTGTGCGTTTAATTATATTTTCTGTTTTCATCGCCGAAACTTTCTCCTGTTCTATTCAACGCTAATATTTTTAACAATGAATATAAAAGATGTCAGTTTTGAGAATAATTAGCTCTGGTGTTATTGTTTTTCGGCATTTTTTTTTTCTGCATATTAGCAATGAAAGGAATTTGTCCATATTGTTTCTCTTTCGAGTCTGTTCATAAATGTGTAATATAAAAAATCAGTGTCATTTTAAAAACGAAAACCAATATTTATTGCTTCCAGTTATAAATATTTTTTTAAAATAAAATCACCAGTAACAGGACACTTTACTCAAATATGAAATTACTTAACACAGTTGACAATTTATGCAATTCGATCAAGCACACTTTTTCTTATTATTCAAAAATCTCATGAGAAATCCGATGCGTCGCTTCTTAGAAATTACATAAACTAAAAATACTTTTGAGATGTATATCGTTGCAAGATTTTGACAGAATATATCCAAAACATACGTTAACACAAAATTTTGAAGATAACAGTGTCCTGAAATTTGGTTAAAGAAATTGGTAAAAATATTCGTTATATAATATTATTTATTCGGTGTGTGAATATAATTTATTGGATGTGTGAAAAGAATCAATATTTTGTTGAGATCAATTGTTTGAATACAAAGTTAAAGACAGTTTGTTTTTATGGCAATTATTCTTAGTGTCGTAAACACTAGACAAGAATTGGCGTTTAATAATATGCTCTGCGAAACTTACAATTTTCGAATACTTTTATGAATTGAAACCAGCATTGAATTTCTTGCATGCATGATTTATAATATTTTGTATGATTCATATTTTCCGCTACAAGACACAGCGATTTCCATCTATAATGAGCAAACTTGGTTTCTATGTTAAAACTCGATATAATAGGAATGAGAAGTGGATGATGGTACTGGTTCAATTTTCACGGAGAGAAAGTTCTGATTACCCTGATAATCAAGATGTATTACCAATGTGTATACACCGATCCATAAGGCTGAGGAAATAAATGTTGATACCACACACGAGCAAAAATTCAATAATTTAAATTAAAAATATCCGTTAATACTTCAGATATGCAAAAAGAGGAAAAATTATTTTGAAATATAAAGGATATTCTGAAGAGCTGAATCCAAAATATTACACTAACAGACTTTGACGTGCATAAATTAATAATGCTAATTCTATATTACAATATATGACAACGCGAATAAAACTTTTTATATGCAAATATGTTTTTTTAGCCACATAACAAAGAATATTTAATATAAACATTAACCTCAACAAGAGATTCATATAAATATTTACAAGATAATGTAACAAATATACAATATTATGTAATAAAAGTAATATGAGGGGTAGAAGAATCGTTCTTACCGTAGATCTTAGGAACCTCAGCAAACATGTTCTTTATTTTTTTTAATAAGTCGATAACTTTCGATAATTCGCTTAATGAAAGAATTTTACAGCATCTCTTTGTCATATCCGAATTGCTAAGATCGCTGTTCTTGTGCTGTGAAGCAATTTGTATGCGAATATATATTGACTGAGAAAAACTTAAATGGCAAACAGGGAAATATTGTGTATGGGGCATCTCTATATGCATGATATATATATATATATATATATATATATATATATATATATATATATATATATATATATATATATTGTTAGTTAATGAAGTTACTTGGTAATCCGTATGGATAATTCCAAGGAGGATGTAATCCAGAGAGCTCAATGTAAAAACGGTGGCCTGGCCTGCAAAAAGTAATCACCAATATTTTTTGAATGAAAATGGAGATCTGATTATTTAGGACCAAAATCACGGTCCAATGGAAATAAATTATAATCCCATGAACCCTTAAAATTGTCTGTTTCTTAATATAATATATATATATATATATATATATATATATATATATATATATATATATATATATATATATATATATAGGAAATACATTCTAACGTAATAATGATTCGGATATGAAATTTGTCATCCCGTCTGAGCAATTCATGTTATTTTGTGAATAACATCGTTAGAACCATTGTATATTCTTCCTCTACCCAGTTTATGCTTCGAACTTCTTCAAATTCTCCGCTCCAGTGTATGTTATAGAATTATACACAATCATGCGCACAAATATTAGCCTTGTGTCAATAAAGCGAGTTAATAAAAGAGTCGTGGTATACACTTCAAAATGAGGTATATCGTTACTGATATTCCACACAACACAAGGCTCAAGTGCCACTCAAGGTAGACGGTTACTGAATGAGGTTTTGGTAAGGGACAGAGGAAGTAAGAGAATATTATGAAGGTTGAACCTGGACTTAAAGAAACGAAGATTGTCTTTCTCCGGGAAGCATTCTCTCGGGAGCTTTTTCCACGGAGTACCTGTTCTGCTGGATTGTCTGAGTTGAGTTTGATTTTATCAAAGAACATGCATAGAAATGGGACTGTTTGTCGCCGTGAGCTGCTTGGTATACATAATGTAACTCGTTCCCAAATGTGCTATAGTAATAGCGATATACTAGTTAGAGGCTAGCAAAGTTTCATCTGTGGGATAAGATTTGCAAGATGGAAAATATCTAAACATTAAAAAGGCCGCGTAAGGGATTTTGAATTCTACTGGAAAGTAGAGATTAGACTCTAATCGGGAAATATTGAGTAAGTTAATTTTAAAAATGCATTAATCTTCTAATAACAACGAATGTCTTGCTTTCTTTTAAATTTTAAATAAAATAAAATTCCTGGGGAGATAACGAACATAATTTCTTCCATAGAAGATACTAAGTTTTATAATAAATAAAGATAGTGCCATGTTGTGATCGGGATTTGTATTTTCATTTTAATGCATATATATTTTTGCTTTTGTAATTCATTTTAATTTTAGCGGTAAAAATATTAAGCCTCTTAAACATTTCTGCTGTTAGATTATAATATTAATAGATATTAACATTGCTAGATTATAATATGCGTGTATTTATTACGAATATTAAATAATGTAACCATTTTCAAACAAATAAATACTATTGCATATACATACACACATAAATACACACACACACACACACATATATATATATATATATATATATATATATATATATATATATATATATATATATATATATATATATATATATATATATATATATATATTATGCAATGTGCGAGTATGTGTGTGTGTCTGCGTTACTCCTATACTACTGAATGGATTGAACCCGCTAGGCTAGTTTTTGAGGATCAATAGTTATATTGTAGAAAACGGTACCCTTAACACAAAGTGCATTTGCGTGAATTCTAAGTCTGAATCAACTCCCCCACGCAATGTCTTATAACGACCACAAATACACTCCCTTTCCACATTTGTATGCATGTCTGTATGTACACACACACACACACACACACACACACACATATATATATATATATATATATATATATATATATATATATATATATATATATATATATATCAAGTTAATTGACAAATCTCCTAGTTTATGCATGATGGACACACCCGTCTAACGGTAATTTTTTTTTTGCCAAGGCGGGAAATTGCATCATACATAAAAATTGAGTTACTTTTCCACCAATATATATATATATATATATATATATATATATATATATATATATATATATATATATATATGTATATCGGAAGAGAGAGATAGAAAAAAAGAAAGAAGGAAATTTATCGTCTTGTAGTAGTTATTCTAGGATAGGTATGTGGAAAATCTGTAGTAATCATTTTCATTATGGGTTGCTTGAAAATAATCTTGCATATACATATATATATACATATATATATATATATATATATGTGTGTGTGTGTGTGTGTGTGTGTGTGTGTATCTGTTTGCGTATAATGTATGTATATGATTACAATTATAATTAAAAATAGTGTCTGTTTAAAATATGATTATTGTTTCATTCATCGATGTACAAATAATGATGAACATCATCGATACGCCCTCTTTGCTATATAATCATCGTGAAACTGCCAATTATATTAAATGAAGCAATTCCAGTCGAATCGATCCAAAGAATGGATACTTTTTCCATATAATCATCGAAACTTCTGAAAGAAAGATCCGAAAATCTATCGGTATTTTTGAGTAGCATTTCTAAAATTGTAAATAAGAATATGATTGAGCTCACTTCAGTCGAAATAGGAAGTGAGGTATATTTTTTTTTTAAAAAAATGGCATCAAGCAGTTATGGTGGAGAATGAGGTGTGTAGCGGAAACCTAGTAGATGTGATCATTGTCTATGATTGGCTCGTGGAATGACTCCAGTCTCCTCCCACAAGATATTGCGACGCCCTGCTCAAATCTTGTCGGCAGTCAAACCCCACGCACGACATAAAATATACACACAATTTGTTGCGCGATTTCGATTTTTAAATTTGAATATTATATATATGTTTATCATATCTAAGAATTCCCACCTTCGCTGCACAATAAGGATATTAAATACAAACCCGATTGCCAAATTATGTTAGGTATAGATTAAGTATATGAGCATTTTATTTTTATTTAATACAATATTTTTCGAAATATATATTTTTAAAATACTTTAATTATAAAAAAAAAGTCTATTGTCTGAATTAAATATTGATGAGACAAGGAAAGTGTTATCATATAAAGATGACATTCACATAGATAAACACAACCTTACCAAGCGAAGATACATCAGATCACACAAAAAAGCACGCGCACGCGCGCATGCTCTCTCTCACTCTCTCTCTCCCTCTCACACACACACACACATACACACACACGTTTGTGTCTGCGTATGTGAACACAAAAGCGTATTGTATATATTGAATGTCCTTTACGCCAGGTTTTGTGAAATGGCTTATGCCGAGAACAATTCTAACACCTCATGATAATATAGCTATATCTATCTATCTGTCTATCTATCTATCTATCTATCTATCTATCTATCTATCTATCTTATGTATTCACCCAATCAAGGCGACAACGCCACTAAGGTATAAGAGTCTACTGGGAAGTGAATGTGGAAATGGGAGTCAAAGAGAATGAGAAAACATTTAAAGGAATCTGAAAAAACAGCAAACAAGGGATAAAGCTTAACTCGTATTCAAAAAACCGGGAAGGTGTCTGAATGAATTGGGTAACAATGAAACTCGGAGTTGCACTCACACACACACACGCGCGCACACACATGTAATCTGTTTATGATATATATTATATTTATGGGTAATCTAATAATATAAAAGGGGACACTGTGATCAACATTTATTAGGGAATTACAGTTTCATGCTTGAATGCAATATTCATACCATGAATGTCGCGTTCAAACATGAAACAGACTCTCGTCGTTCGGGTTTGTGTGTGTGTGTGTGTGTGTGTTTTAAAGAAATTTTCAAAAGTTCGTCGGATAAGTTCAGTTTTTTTTTTATTATTTGCATTTTCAAATACTTTATTAAATTGTTGCATTTCCCTTTATTTCCTTTTGACTCTTCCCAACTTCTCCGTCTCGTTCTCTCTATCTCGATATATATATATATATATATATATATATATATATATATATATATATATATATATAACCCAATACAGGGTTGATATAGATGGAATAAAATTCCGATAATCAAAACCACTATTTTTAAGAAAGTGCCCAATACAAAGTAGAGCAAATAATATTTATTCAAAAATTATAGCATAATCATGTTATAACATCAATACAAAAATAGCCATTTTCTTTCAACACTGCTTGTCAAGGGATGGTGTTGCAAGTAAAAAATAATATATATATATATATATATATATATATATATATATATATATATATATATATATATATATATATATATATATATATATATATATACACGCATACACACATATGTGTGTGTGTTTTGTGTGTGCATGCGTGTATATGAATAAAGACAAGAGAAAACATAGCCGATGCGTTTCGACCTCTGAGTGTCTTTATCATTTTTATGATAAAGTTACCCAGAGGAGGAGACGCGTCGGCAAAGATAAGTTTTCCTTTTGTCTTTTTTAACATTTTCCTTTGCATATATACTCTATTTCAAATTTTACACACACACACACATATATATATGTACACTTTCGAATTGAATGACGAACGCAGGTTTCGTTCTGTTAGATAAATCTAAGCTTAGTAAACACACAAAAGCAGTATAAAAGTACTTAATGATATAATATTATGATATTTCTATTCTCTTCCACTGCTAGCGAGTTCGATCCTCGATAGATATCCAACATTTTTTTAATTTCGTAGGCAAGATGATTGGTACTGACAAATGAATCGAGCTCATAGATAAAATCTCATATGATAAAAATATGACCATTTAATTTGATCAGAAAAGGAAGGCAAGGTATTAACTCATTCTGCGTAACCACATTATTTATTATAGAATTAAGTAGATATCTGGCCTGAATTTCAGCTTTTAAATTATGTTATTAATTACAGGTTTATAAAATAAAATCCGGTATTAATTAAAGGTTTCAAGTAATAAGCTTTTAAGACCCATTCATTTTTTGCGCGTCAATGGACATTAATTAAAAGCAAATGATTATTCCGCAACTTGAAGTAAATGTTTACTGCCTAACTTTCTGGGAAGTCACAATAAAATTTTGACTATGCGTCAACGAAAACAAGTCATTAACTCTACTTATATGAGTGACTGAAAGTTCATCCTAATATACATACAATTGCTTGTGTGCGCTTTAATGTCTACGCTTGCGTTAAATTAATGAAGATGAGGACAAACATAATGTAAGATCATGATATAAATACTTACCTGGCTTATGTCAGAGTGTACCCCGCAGACGAGGCTCTGCTGAAGTGCAGTGTCTCGTCTCGGGAAAACTGACTGAGATTTTACGTGGTCTATAGGGAATATTTGCCCGAGCCTCCGGGCTCGGATACTCCACTTTAAACTCCGTCTTGTGCCACATCTTGCTGCGTGGGGCAGCGGGTAAATAATGAAAAATTTACGTCAAGTGAAAATTAAATGAACAAATAATTCTATGTTGTCAATGCTAACGGAAATGTGGCGCTCCGGTGTGGAGAGGAACACTCATCTCTGTATTAAAGCAGAAAAAAAAAAAAAAAAAAAAAAACAAAAAGAAACAATGGAATGACATGGAAAGCAGGATCTATGAGGCAACTTCCGGTGGTGAATTCAGCCGTTGAAAAAAATGCTGACGAAATCAGCAAAGTCCTCCACGTTAAATAGTCCACCGGCTGTCAAGAATTCACTTGTTCGCCGATGGAGAAAAAACATAGAGCTTCCTTAAAAGTCTAGAACTGACATTGAAATCCAGACTAAATGTTCGCTAGTCAAACTAAAAGATGATATTACGTACTATATATATATATATATATATATATATATATAACACAATACAGGGTTGGAATAGATGGAATAAAATTCCGATAATCAAAACCACTATTTTTTAAGAAAGTGCCCAATACAAATAATATTTATTCAAAAATTATAATATAATCATGTTATAACATCAATACAAAAATAGCCATTTTCTTTCAACACTTCTCGTGTCTTGTCAAGTGATGGTGTTGCAAGTAAAATAAATATATATATATATATATATATATATATATATATATACATATATATATATATATATATATATATATATATATATATATATAAATTTAAATATTTTAATAATCAAATAGTTTAGGAGGCAGAGAATTGGGTGAAAGCTATTAACGCTTTTACTACCAGATTGATTTCAAGGGTGACTGAAATAGCCTCAGTTTCATTGTGAAATCCGTTCAACGATGCTATTACCTTTTTCAATAAATATTATTCCATCGAGCAAACCTCACTAAAAGTTAACCCTATCATAATCAAAAAGAGGAAAAGGGGATCGATAAATTCCTAAGTTATTCTCGCTAATATTATAACTGAATGTATTAACTCCCTACACTATTAACATTGTTCCGACTGTTGTCCTCATCTTTATTATCATATTCACGACGTTTCGGCCGTTGTACTCTCTGGCTTCTTCAGGTGATATACGTTGGAATTTCGACATTCCAACGCATATAACCTGAGGAAGGCCGGAGCATGCAACGGCCGAAACATCGTGAATATGACAATGAAGATGTAGACGACAGTCTGTACAATGTAAATAATGTAAATAGTTATAATACCTCATCTCAGAAATATAGACAGATATTTATTCTCATTTTAAATAAAATGTTAATTTTTACGAAATATATAGATTAAAGTCTACAAGTAAAGACCGACTAAATGTATCAGAAAATATTTTATTCATGCTTCATTTATGGAAAGGAATGCGGCAAATACTTATATTGCATGACAAGATATTCATATTTAGTTGAGGAGTGAATAAGAGTGTATAGACCAAGGAACATAAAAGATAGCTTTCGCCATTTGATACAAGGATTCAAACGAATGAAGTCATGGGCTCAAAATGGATGAACTAATAGAGTATTTAACCATCAAGAAAGTGCATGTTAATCAGCCAGAGGTATATTAATTAGAGCCAATTTCTGCTAAAATCTATTCACTGCTGAATAAAAGACAACAGATATGTGGTTCTGCCGAAAAAATGATTAGAGTAATATACACTGAATATCTCAGCAACGACGAAGTTTTAGATAAAATGGAAACAAAATGGATGCATAATAGATAGATGATATTTCTATGGCGCATAATGAGAAAAGATGGGGTGGAAAATTTGACGCTCACAGAATATATTGATAGGAATGGACATAGAGGAAAACAACGCATAACTTACCTAAGGAGCTTGTGTAAATGGATGCCAAAACAGGTTTAGGACAGATAGCAAAAAGAAACAATTACTAAGAACAAAAAAGTAAAGAAAATTGCAGAGAGACATGATCGCCAACTTCCTGAAAGTACAAAGAAGAAATTAACAATCCACAGAAGAAATATGTGGTAAATATCCCTGTGAAAGATTTCTTTACTACAGGTTGAGATTTCGCTAAACAAACACAGCCAGCAACAATCAGATAGTTTTTATAAATGTCTTTTTTTGTGACGTGCGTTGGCCGTTAATAGTTAAGCAAAACTTAAGATTCAATGTTAAGTAAAGAAGTATTTAATTACAACCGCAAATAAATACGTAACAAGAACAAAAGCAAAAGTCAACCAAAGATAATTAACCATTTTAGTGAATACCATGATAGTAGCGCGGCTCGACTTAACTTCCGGTAAATCCTAAATCAAAACACAAATCATCGACGCACACTAATTCGACTGGATAGTTCCACTCAATTGTCACTCAATAATCACTCTAGTCAGTAGCCTGACACCGCTATTTATACGTGGCGGAAAATATATATTCATAAGTCAAGAGTGTTACGCTCGAACCTCGGTGGCGGTAGTTAATTATTTTCTTCATATATAAAAGTCTTGAAATGCTTATCTTTTTATGATAGCATGGTTTGAGAAATGAGACAAGAAGTAGCAACTTTCAACTCAATATGCACATTTTCATTGAATTAATACCCAAAGTTGCTCATCAACTTAAATATAGTCAGCAATCTGTTCTTTTACTTAACACTTATTAATACTTACTTAATATTTACTTAAACTTCTAATATATTTGGAAGATTATTATTCTATTGTGGAAGAAAATGTGATTATATTTAGCACTGCTAAATACTTTAGGAGAAAGCAGACTTTGATCAGATCGCGTGAGATTAAGTTAATTATATGTAAAATAAATTTATGACGTTCGTGACAAACTCATTTGCAGGTCGAGATTCTGTACACACGAAAGCGGTCACAGTTAATGTATTACGAAATAAATTTGGATATTAATCAATATCTTACATTTCTAACTTTGAAACAATTCAACTAGAAAAATCCCCATTAGAATAAATATAATTATATATTAAAATATTTTTCTGTAAATTGTGTTTGTGTGAACATGAAATAGAGGAGTTTATCTGAATGTATATCTATTCTCCCTATCG